TTTACTGCGATAAAGGCCCTTCAGAGCCCCAGGGCCGCGTGAGAGAAGGATTTGATGAATTCTGCGAACGTTCCACAGATTCCTCCCTCGCAGGGACCTTTGGGAAAAGAATGGGTCATATGCAAATGGCATGCACAGTATGGAGGAGAAGTTTCCCACAAGCCGAGTGTGAAAAGGGCTCTCCCTCCCCATGCCGGGCCCGCTGAATGGGCCTTTTCTTCTGCCACTGAAAGTGTATGAGGTAGAGCAGGCAAACTGCAAAGGTAACTAGGCTCTCTCTCCTCAGGCTTTCCTGAACACACAATGGTTCATTTAAGCATTCACCCACACAAACCCCAATAAAGCACATCCAAGCACAGTTAAGGGGGTTACTGAAACTGACTCTGGGTTTAAAACGCCTTCTTTATCTTTTTATAGGCTAATGCTCCGAGCCTCCATGGGAGCGGCTAATCATTAAGCTGCCTTAACAGAGGTGGAAGCGTGGTGGGACATCATGTAATTTCAATGGTCAGATGAGGAAAGGCCCTTTTCCCATACTGACGGATACATGGACCTGACAGAATTTTTATCTGCCTTTAGTATTTAAACCCTAAAGTCTGTTAACTGTTCTTAAACAGGATCTGTTATTATTTAGTGCTTATCTATTTTTGCTGATGTAAGTCCGAAGAGCATTACCTAACACCCAAAAATCCATACAGGTCAGTCAGATAGCCGCCATGTGTGTCATGCTTTTCATCGCTCGGCACCAGTCCCACAGTTGTCACCTGTTGAAAAATTCTTTAGTCACCTCAGCTATTTTGCACAGGCCCTCTCCATCCCCCGCCCCTTCAGACTCCGCAGGGAGCTTGGTGCCTATGGTTTTTGGGGTCAGGGAGGAGTGGGAGGAGAGAAGGAGACTACACACCCCCAACTCCATTGCTATCACACTGCCCCACAGCTCCTCTTCTCCCCTTCCATTGAACAGGCTTAAACACAAACACAATTGGACATGCTGGAAGCCTCACAATGGCACAGAGGGGAAAGTGAAGTCATACTCTAGGAACGCATGGGTGCCTAGGTCAGGGGGCAATCAACAGCACCCCTGGCTACTGTGTCTTAACACCCCCGAAAAAAGGACTGAGTGCAGGATTGAGAGAGGAAAAAACTGAGAGAGATGAGGTGAGGGCAGGGGGACTCCTTACTTGGCAGTTTTAAATGAAGCAGCTAGAGGAGTTTGTGAAGAGGCTGTGAGATTAATGAAAAATGTCCTCCTTCAACTCACGGTTCACACAACAAGCGTGTAACATTTAAATGTAAACAGATGTGCGTTAAAGAACGATGGGGAGCTGGTGGACTACTGAGCCAATACACACTTCCTCTGCTGTTTTCACAAGTGCACACCGAAATAAGAGGTGTATCGGCAAACAACCTGCCACTCAAGCTGCACCATCGCTCTTTTTGTAATTGTGTTT